CGTCTAGTTCTTGCTCAGGGCCAGGTTTTTGAACTCCTGACTCGAGCAGCCATCCCGCCGTCGGCCTTCAGGGAGTGCTATGGATTAAGGCGTGAGCACGCGGCCCGGCCAAGAAAGAGTTTTAATAAACACATTATATAGGAGGGGTGGCTATAGAATGGTTTATTAAAACTCTTTTCTTGGCCTGTGCGGGTGGCTCACGCCTGTAATCCTAGCACTCTGCGAAGCCGAGGCGGGATGGGCTGCTCGAGGGTCAGGAGTTCAAAACTAGCCTGAGCAGAACGAGACCCCCGCCTCTTACTATAATAGAAAGAAATTAATTGGCGATAAAAGTACTATATAGAAAATTAGCCGGGCATGGTGGCACGATGCCTGTAGTCCCAGCTACTCGGGAGCTGAGCAGCAGGATTGCTTGAGCCAGGAGTTTTGAGGTTGCTGTGCAGCTAGGCTGATGCCACAGCACTCTAGCCTGGGCAACAAAGTGAGACTCTGTCTCAAAAAAAAAAAAAACCTCTTTCTTAAAGGTTGTCTCAGTAACTTCTACTCTCTAATTTTTTTTCCTAATTTCACTGCAGGTACCCATTTATCTATGAAAACACAGTGTAATTAACTCACTACTGAACTACTCTATTTAAACCCCAAAAATATCGGGCCGGGGCGCGGGTGGCTCACGGCTTGTAATCCTGCACTCTGGGAGCCGAGGCGGGCGGAGCTTGCTCAGAAGGTCAGGGTTCAAAACCAGCTGAGCGAGACACCGTCTCTATATAAAAATAGAAATAATTATTGGCCAAGCTAATACAATATATATAAAAAATTAGCCGGGCATGGTGGGCTCGTGGGCCGTGCTAGCTCCCAGCGACTCTGGAGGCTGAGCAGTAGGATTGCTTAAGCCAGGGAGTTTGAGGTTGCTGTGAGCTAGGCTGACGCCACGGCACTCACTCTAGCCCTAGGCAAAGAAAAAGTTGTGAAACTCTGATCTCAAAAACAACAAAACAAAAAAAAGAAAAAAAAAAAAATAAACCCCAAAATATAACCTTAACCTTTGTACCCAAAAAAGAAAAAAAGGAAAAAAAATAATAAAAAATAAATAAATAAACCCCAAAATAATAGCCAGTAACTTTTCTTTTCTTAAAATAGATACAGGGTCTTGCTATGTTGTCAAGACTGGTCTCAAACTCCTGGGCTAAGGCAATCTTCCCACCTCAGCCTTCTAGTAGCTGGGACTACAGGCACATGCCACACCATGCCCAATCTAGCCAATAATTTCTGAAGGACATGCCAGGAACTGTGGCTAAACATGTTTCATAGATTGCCCCCTATAACCCTCAGCACATCTAAGAGAAGAGATCATGAGTAAACAGCCTCAGAGAGGTTCAGTGACTGACCAAAGGTCACACACAGTCTAACTCAAACTGTCTGACTTCAAAGCTCATGCTCTTAAGCACTAAAGCAGTCCTACTCCAAGTGTGACCCTCAAACTGGTCCAGGTCTTCAAGATGGAGTAAGTACAGAAACTGAAAATTGTTTACAAACTTTGATAGCAATTTAACATTGTGACATTTACACTATATTCTACTAGTGGTGGGTGCATTGGAAATTTTTAAAAAACCACCTGGTCCTTCATCTCAGATACCTTAAGGGAAGACTGCTTTATTTAGACTGTATCATCAAGAATTCCCTATAGTCAAGCATGCTAGCAGTAAGCATTCTTTTTTTTCAATTTTTTTGAAATTTTTTTTTTAATTTTAATTTTAATTTTTTTGAGACAGAGTCTCGATTTGCCCAGGCTAGAGTGAGTGCCGTGGCATCAGCCTAGCTCACAGCAACCTCAAACTCCTGGGCTCAAGCGATCCTCCTGTCTCAGCCTCCCAAGTAGCTGGGACTACAGACATGCGCCACCATGCCCAGCTGATTTTTTGTATATATGTTTAGTTGGCCAATTAATTTCTTTCCATTTTTATAATAGAGACGGGGTCTCGCTCTTGCTCAGGCTGGTTTCGAACTCATGACCTCAAGCAATCCGCCCGCCTCGGCCTCCCAGAGAGCTAGGACTACAGGCGTGAGCCACCACGCTCGGCTTCAATTTTTTTGAATTTTAAAATCTTTTCATCTTTTTAATTTTTTTTCTTTCTTTTTGCTTTTTCAGTATACATATGCAGATTCTGATTCATACTAGCAGTGAGCATTCTTTTTTTTTTTGTTGAGACAGAGTCTCACTTTGTTACCCAGGCTAGAGTGAGTGCCCTGGAGCTTCAGCTAGTCACACAACCTCAAGCGCACTCTGGCTCAAGCATTCTCCTGCCTCAGGCATCCGGCTAGCTGGGATACAGGCATGCGCCACCATGCCGTGCTAATTTTTTCTCTTATATTTAGTTGGCCAATCTATGGTCTTTCTACTTATATAGTAGAGACGGGGGGTCTCGCTCTTGCTCAGGCTGTTTCGAACTCTGACCTCGAGCAATCCGCCACCCTCGGCTCCCAGAGTGTACAGGATTAACAGGCGTGGACCCGCCGCGCCGCCCGGCAGTAATGCATTCTTAATCAACTGTTAAACACCTGGAAATAACATAAAAGCCATGCATTCACCTGACACATGATGTTAACCACGCTACCTTTAGCAACAGGGGCCACTGAGATGTGTCCAACTGAGCAACTTTGGATTCAGGTTTGATAAGAATTCTTCAGCAGTTGTATTTCCTTCAATAGGCAGCAGAAACACAACGTACTTAAAATTCGCACATGATTTTGAACAATTCTATTACCATCCAGAATATATATCTTTTAAATAGAAAACAGGCATTCAGGCGGGCGGGTGGCTCACGCCTGTAATCCTAGCACCTCTGGGAGGCGAGGCGGGCGGATGCTTGAGGTCAGGAGTTCGAAACCAGCCTGAGCAAAGCGAGACCCCGTCTCTACTATAAATAGAAAGAAATTAATTGGCCAACTAATACATTAATAGGAAAAAATTAGCCAGGCATGGTGGCACATGCTGTAGTCCCAGCTACTTGGGAGGCTGAGGCAGAAGGATCGCTTGAGCCAGGAGTTGAGGTTGCTGTGAGCTAGCTGACGCCACGGCACTCACTCTAGCCTGGGCAACAAAGTGAGACTCTGTCTCAAAAAAAAAAAAAAAAAAAGAGAAGAAAAAAGAAAACAAGGCATTCTATGTCTCTTCACTGGAACCTCCAAGGGAAAGAGAGAAGATATAGGCCAGAGGCTCAGAAGAGGAAGTCAAGTGCTACTAAGATGGGTTCAAATATTTAAAGAGAAAGGGGGATTGTGGATCTGTGGGTGAGATAAAGAAGAGAAATTGGTGAGAGCAGCTTGTGTGGCCAACACCATTTTAGTAGACTATGCCTGACAGGAATTAGGCCATCTGAGCTTGTGTCATTTCAGTGCTATATGATGATCACCCAATGCCAGCCCATTCCTTGGAAACTTTTAAAAACACTTTTATTATTTGAGTAATCTTTCTCTTTAGTCAAAGCAAATTAAAATACATTCATACTCACAGCGACATCTTCTTCTGGTAGTGACTTTCGGTCCTTTTTCTTCTTATGCTTCTTTGGCAAAATAACTACTAAAAAAACACACACAGGTTTTGGGAATTTTCCCCCAAAATAAATGAAAACAAAATTTAAAATAAAGACGGAAATCAGGACAGGCAGGAAATGGAGTTTAGGTCTAGAATTACAGTCATTCACCACCTAATGTTTTGGTCAACATGGTAGTCCCATAAGATTAAAATATAGCTGATTCCCTGTTCTTTCAACTGCCAAAAAAAAAAAAAATAAAAAAATAAAAAAAAAAAATATAGCTGAAATATTCCTATTGCCTAGTGATGTCTTGATGATTGTGGCCCTGTGTGTGCTTTGGTTAATGTGTATTTGTGTCTTAGTTTACATTTTTTTTTTTTTGAGACACAGTCTAACTCTGTTGCCTAGGCTACAGTGCCCTGGCATCAGCCTAGCTCACAGCAACCTCAAACTCCTGGGCTCAAGCAATCTTCCTGCCTCAGCCTCCCAAGTAGCTGGGACTACAGGCATGGCATGTGCCCTATGGGCCCAGCGCAATTTTTTATGTCTATTAGTTGGCCAGTTAAGTCTTCTGAGCCAGGCGTGGGGCTCCGCGGAATCCTGAGCACTTGGGAGGCCGAGGCGGCGCTGATATGCCAAGGTCAGGTGTCGCGACGCCTGACGGGACCCCGTCTCTACCAAAATAGGAAGTAAATTAAGCCAAGCTAAATATATTACAAAAAAATTAGCTGATGGCAGGCGAGATGAGTCTCCAGACTACTCGGGAGAGAGTAGGGGATCACTGAGCCCTCGGGATGAGGGTTTGCTGCTGAGCAGGCTGATGCACGGGCAACTCTCTAGCCTGGGCAACAAAGGAGACTCTGGCTCAAAAAAAAAAAAAAGTTATTTCTGTTTCAGTGAGGGGGACGGGTCTCGCTCCTTGCGTCAGGATGGGTTCAAACTCGCTGACCTCAAGCATCCAGCCCGTCCGTGGCCTCCCAGTGTGCAGGATTACGGTGTGAGCCTGGCCCAGCCCACAAGGGTACTTTTAACAATTTTTTTGCCTATTCTCTTACTTACCTTTCTATGTTTAGCAACAAATACTTACCTGGTTATAACGGCCTACAATTATTGTCTCGCAGCGTCCATGCCGTACAGGTGTTGTAGGCTAGAGTGTGGGCTTATACCATATAGGCCTAGGTGTGTCATGACTATACCTTCTAGGTTTTTATAGTCCTTAGTTTGTCAACAATGACGAATGCCTTAGAGCCACTGTATCCCTGTCTTTAAGGGCAAGCATGCCGGTGTACTGAAAAGAACAGAAATAAGATGTGTGAAGGCCTACACCATAGGGTGGCCCGTTTCCCTAAAATAAGACAGAGGGTCTTATATTGTATTTTCCTCGAAGCACGCCATTGGGGCTCGATGACTCACGGCCTGTAATCTGGGCACTCTGGGAGCACGAGGTGGCGGCGATTGCTCCGGGTAGGAGTGTTCGAGAACCAGCCTGAACAGGCGGACCGCGCGGTCGCTCTGTACTTAACTAGAAGGGAGAGTTAATTGGGCGCACTAAGTTCATGTATATGGGAAAGAAACTGCCGGGGCAGGCTGGGTGGCATGCCTGTGGGTCCAGCTTGCGCGAGAGGCGTAGATCTCTGAGCCTGGAGTCTGAGGGTCTGCTGTGAGCTGGCTGGTGTGCGATACTCTAGCCGTGGGCACACAAAGTGGATACGCTCTTGTCTTTCCAAAAAAAAAAAGGAAAAAAAAACGAAGCACGCTAGCGGATTATTTTCAGGGGGAGGGTTTTCCCCTCAAGGCCTCGCGAGCTTGCAGCATGCACAGGGATGGCGCGGGACGCTGAGCGGTCCTGGGGCTGCCGCTGGGGGCGTCGAGGGCATCTGCTGCCTTGGTTCACAGTCAACTCTAGGGTCTTATTTTTGGGTAGGGCTTTGAGTGCCAATGCTTAGAGATCCTCGCTGGGGGTATTTTATGGGTAATCGAATTTCGGTCGTAATCATTTGTGGGCGGTA